ATTAGATATACAAACCAGAACTGCAAGAGGAGCTCCGTTGAGTTCCTCGGCGACAGGCTCCGCCCACAGGAAGCCCCCCAGTTTCACTTTTCCACTTTATATATTTTTTGCATTAATTTGTGAATATTTCTCCAGTTTATGCAAAATTAATACATATGCAAACATTTTTCCATAATAGAATGGATTTTTATATTTTTGCTCATGTATACATTTTGTTTAATATACTGTATATGCTGTAAACTCTTTAATCAAGGTGTACAAATGACAAAACTGCAAAATATGTGGAAAGATCATTACATTTCAGTTCAATTATGGCTTTAAGAAATAAACACTGACTTAATTCCTCTTATATCCTCGATTCTCTTTTTTTAATGTATATGATTTGCTGTGAAGTATTTTGCTGAACGTAAGGGCCATTTTCAAGTTAAACTTGAGCTTTATGATTTCAGAACTGTGAAATACACCACTGCTACTTTTCTAGGCATAGCATAGCACGACACCAACAAACAGTTAACTAATTAATTCAGTCTGGAAATTGGCATCTTCAATTTGAATCTAAACCGTAGAAGTCAAAAGTGCTTTTATGCAACACACTTTGGTGAATGAAGTAAAGACCTCACAACACTTTTATACAATATGAAAGGCTTTGGCGCTATTACCATTGATTACATTTTTTAGGATTCGGTATGTTGTACAGATCCATTTGGCTGATTTGTGTTTCGATGTATTGTGCAGCCTCCAAGGGTTTAATTCAGCAATCAGATTCTTGGAGACAAGAACATTAGCTAAATTGTGGGACATTTTATCTCTTGTTGTAATCCTTACTTGTTGTTCTAATAAAAACTTCTTGGGACCCTCAAAAGCTATGCACTTCTTTATAGCAGTTAGGTTAGTTCTAATCAAAGCATTGCCCATTGTAGACTTCAGATATATTTTATAAATTCACATATAAGAAATAACTAAATAATAACTTCATTTAGTATCATTTGTTACCCTGATGACTCCATGGACATATTTATGTAGCTTCTTGGATTACATATAGAACCAGTTGGCCATTGCCTTTTTCCAGAAGTCCCCCCCCCCCCAACTTCCCTATCTAGGCTGGGATCTCACAGCCAACTCCTAAGCAGGTCTGAACTGCTTATCTTTTTCAGCCTAGGGTGGTAATTACTTAATAATGCACAGCACTTTTCTTCATATGAACTTACTTGGATATTTTTGAGATGAGATGTTTGTTTTACAAGGAAAAGATTTATAGAAGGAGAAGACTCTGCTTCAGCAGCAAATTCATCTATACATTTTCCAAGGTGGACATGAGTATCTCCAATTCCACCATGCATTGATCATTGTTTTAGGGCAGATATCAGATACTAAAGAGAAGCTTAAGTGTCTTGGGGAGGGATGAATTATGGAAAAGTGTAAATCCTCTATAATGCTCTAGAACAGTGATGGCGAACTTTTTTTGGCTTGCATGCCAAAAGCAGGGGGAGAGCAGGGAGTCGTGCGCGGGGGTGCCACACCCATAATGCTATGCGCATGACCACAGCACGCATGCGTGCATGACCAGTGCTCCCCCCATTTTTGGTGGGCTTTTTTCACCCTCCCCAGACTCCAGAGGCTTTACAGGAGCTTAGGGAAGGTGAAAACACCCTCCCCTGCCCACCTGGAGGCCCTCCGGAGGCTTCAGGGAAGCTCTGTAGTGTGAAAAACCGCCCCTACAGGCAAACTGGAAGTTTGGGAACGGACTTCCGGTTTGCTCGTAGGGGCGGTTTTAGCCCCCCGGAACCTTCAGGAGGCTCTCCTGAAGGCTCTGGAGGGGAAAAAAAACTTGTGTTCAGGAGCTCTCAGGAGGCTTCCCTGAAGGTTCCAGAGGGCGAAAAACAACCATACGAGCAACCCGGACTTCCGGTGTGTCCGTACGGCCGTTTTTTTGTCTCCAGAGCCTTCAGGGAAGCCTCCAGAAGGCGAAAAATGGCCTCAAAAGAAGGGCGAAGTCAGCTGGCCAGCGCGCATGAATGCTGGCCAGCTGACAGGGCAAGCCTTGCGTGGCCCTGACAAATGGCTCCATGTGCCACCTGTGGCACACGTCCTATAGGTTCGCCATCATGGCTCTAGAACTTTGATTTCCAGGGAAGAAATAATTTATTTTACAACACTTACTTGAGATTAAATACAATTTGGTATCAGGAAAGGATAGGTTGTGCAGTTATTCAAAGCCCCTCCCCTCAAATCTATTTAATTGGGCACTGTCTGTTTTCAGTGTGAAAGTGTTATGTGCGCATAGATGTAGATATGCTCATGTATGCTTGGGCCATATGCTGCTATATACATTGTTAGATGAAAAAAATGTTAGGACAACAATGTTACAATTGATTTGCTCCTTTGCCTTATCTTTAATCCCTTAATAAAAACTGTTACAAATTTCAAATCGTCTGTCTGGACAATTCAGACCTGCAATTTGCCCAATTAAATAAATTGCTATTCCTGAGCAAACTGGAAGCCCTCTCACATTTTAGTTCAGTTACTCAACTAAGAAAAACCTATGTAGCATTCACTGAGCATATTCTACATACTTAATTTCAATATTCTTCTTTATTTTTAAAAAACACTGTTTCACATCTTTCTTGGTTTATTGAACAATAGAAAAATGTATATCATAATGATCTCATTTTCATGGCTATGATTGTGTGAGAGTGACTTGGCAGTTAGCAACAAAGTACGTGTCCAAGTATTTGCAATTAATTGTCTTGCTGTTCTTGTTGGAATCAAAAATTCAGGGTCTGCATATATTAACAAGACCTTGCCCCTTACTGTACAGCCTTTCAAAAATCCTGAAGACCATATTTCTGCAGCCTACTGACAATTTCTCCTTGGGGAGGGGAAGGGAGATGTTTGGATGCAAACACACAGTGCCTCTGCTGCTTTTTCATGTGGAACAGTTGCTTTCCCACCAACTCAGCTGTTTCCATGGTGACTAAGCTGTACTAGTTGATCTGGCTCAGGAAAGTACACAGTACTAAACGAAAGGTCCATCAAGTGCACATTGGAGAGGACACAAGAGGGTGATAGGCAAATGGGAAGATAAATAAACTCATCAGAATGTTCTTTAATTGTGTTGATTTCCAACCAGTACATTTCCAAAATAAAATGCAGTTAAAGCAGTAATGCAGTAATAGAAAATTTGCAACTTGCACAGAATAGAACAGATGCCAGTTTGAAATTCCAGGCTATTCAGATGCTTTTAAGAATGACAGCAGCATACTGATGGATCCTATGTTCAATTACCATAATTTGCATATTCACACACACCATCTATGGGATGATATTAAGGAAATTCCATTAACATTTTTTAAAAACTGGAACTTTGCATTGTAAGGAAGTGGTAAATAGCATGGATTCCAATGCTTTTTTTCATTTATTTTTGCACAATTCACTGTAACAGCTGGGAAGAAAGTAAAATTATTCACAGTTGCAAAGGCAACTGTTGCAAAGGCATGCAGCAAAAGCATTCAATTCAAATAATAAGTCACTAGTTCATGTTATTACCACAAAATAATTATTACTCCAAAGAACATGGAGTTTTCCTATTCTGATTTATCAGTTTCAGGTCAAAATAAACATTATGTATGCATCATGAGCCTTGTTGTGAAACTATTATAGAGTATGTGTGTGAGAGAGAGAGGGGGTGGCCATTGTGAAATCAGGATCTGATAAATAATGGACTTGATAAATAACTCCCGAGTACATTATTTTCTTTTTCAATTCACTACCAGACAGAAGTCTTTCCAACTGACTCCTGAATGTGTATTTGCCAAATTTTTGAAAAAAATGAGACTAAAGGTAATATAGAAATACACTATATAATTTTCAGTTCTGTATAAGTTCATCATTTTTTTTAAATCAGTACTTTGCTCAAGAGCTAGTGCTTTCCTACAGCAAACAGAAAAACAAGTATTCATTATTATTAATGGAACTTACGGATCAAAAGCTGCCAGCAAAAAGTTGAGCAGTAAACTGATGGATTGCTCAACATTAATCTGGTGGGTTGTTGGCATACGTTTGTTGAGTTGGTAAAAAATAGTGGAGAGTACAGCTTCGAGTCGAGCCACATTCAGCTCTATACTAGGGTCCAAGTTGTTCAAAGAGTTTTCCCGCAATGCTTCTATAACATTCCAAATGTCCACTAGGTGCACTATGTATAATTTCAAAAACAATAGTTAAGAATTGTTTAAGTATTGGACAAAAACATATTGTGATACAGAATTTTTAAATAATATTCATGTATTTACAGAAAACCATAAGAAATTCTAGTCTTTACATAGCTCCTTCATCCAAAAGTTTATTTAATAGCTCAAGAACTATGATATTTATTTTCATATAATATGTAAACTTCAGAATTCTGAATTATATAGTGATTTTGAAATACACTGAGATGGGAGTCCTTTGGTTCTTGTACTTCTGTCTCATTCCTCTGTGGTTGGAAACTCCAATTATGCAGATTCTTTTGATCCTATCTCTTGGCTATTCCTTCTGCCTAAATTCTTCTGATCTAATGAATCTGATCTCTTGGGTTTGCTTTTTTATGATAGATTTATTGTCATATCTTTTTTGGGGGGGGGATTTTCTGATTTCCCTCCTAGGTATCCTTAGTTCAAGACTGTTTTATACATTGTTTACTATCTGTATAATGTTTAACTGTTCTTAGACATAATCCACTGAGAGATATTCAGATTTAGTGTAACATAAATACTAGCTTTATAAACATTAGCCATAGTCAGTAATAACTGTGCATAGTAGAGCTTTTTAAATTTATGATTAGGAAGCAATTATATTATTTTTACTTTTAATTAAATGTAAATGAAATGAAATTTCAGTTTTATCTTGGCTCCTCCTATTATTTTTTGCTTCCAGGACATCATATTGTGACCTAACATCATGTGTGAAATTTTTCCATTTGAGAGTTAAATAAGCAGATTACTGTCAACCATTAGAAATATTTAGATGATTCCACTCTATTTATTGAAGCCCATTAAGTATTTATTTAAAATGTGAAAGCAATGAAAATTCAGGAAGACCTAAAATCAATTGTCTTCTCATCACCAAGAAATAAAGCCTTCCTGACAAAATCCACAGAAATTTACACAGAAAGGAACAGTGGCAGTTGGATGGAGCCAAGGGGACACTATTTTTCAGTTACACTCCTGGCCTCAAATAGAATTAAGGCTCACTCCATCTTTTTATGATTTACAGGAGCTACTCAAGACAGCATTTCGTGGTTTATTGATGCCATCTTTATCAAATTTTTTGATATTCCACAGGATGATGTCTACATATACAGGAATCATTTTGGTTGTTTTAATTTGGGTTAGTAATGAATTGGATTGGCAGAAATTGATAGAGAAATGTTCTCTTGCTGCATTTCTGTTCCATGGATCATATAACCCAACTATATTTTCCTTCTTACAATTTCACATTTTGAAATTACATTCTCTAATCACAAGTAACATATCTTGCTTGCATGTTCTGTTAACAACTATAACACTCCTTTTTTTCTGTATCAGTTATTGAGCATATCCTTGAACAATCATCATACTAAACTCCTGTCTGTGAAATCTAATTGACATTATTCAATTGTTGACTGTATTGTACATAAGTATTATCTTTGCTGCATCCTTCCTAACTAGAAAATCAATGTCATTTTTAAAAAAATTTCACATCATGAATAGTATGAATGAGAGTCTAATTCTAGACCAGTTGAATTCTCTGATGCCTAAGATATGGGGAATTTAACACTCTGCACTATGGATCCGGGCGACTGGCCTTCTTGTCGTCGCCGTGGTTGATCCTAGTGCGTTTTCTCCCCACCCTCCATCGCAGCTTTTTGACTCTAATAATCATCTATCACTGCCACGGATCGGCTTTTACAATTCTGGCTTGTGATCCCCGTAGCCGACTTCTGCCTCCGACTCCCACTCCCACTGCCGCTACCATCCGTGATTGTTCCTGGCTTGCCTTCTTCAGACGACGCTGCCTCCCTGAACTGTTTCCATCTTTCGACCGCTCTCACCCCCTGCCACTCTGGCTGCTGCTGCTCGGCCATGGAGTTCTTTGATCTCCGTTTTTGCCAAGGGCCTTGCTTGCCATTCTGTATCTACAATTCTTGCAGAAAAGGAAAGCGGAGGACAAAGAGGACGTGAGTAGGGAATTTGCTCTCGCCCCTTGCGACCGGGATTAACCCCCCACCTACTCTAAACTGTAGAACTTTGTCCCTTCTATTTGATCCAGCGGAAGAGGAGCTCCCGAGTGTAAAGGACTTTTCCTCTCTTGTCCTATTACTGTTTATCTCCAAACTGCGCCAATCGCAATTTTCTGTGTTTTAGGTATGAGGTGTGACTGGTATGTTTGATTGATGACTGTACCCACTTTTTAACCCCATTATTGTTGTATTTTTTGTGTTTTAACTGACTTATGTGGGGAATGCATGGATGAGCGGCTGTGTTTGTGTGAGAGGATGATTGATTCGAAGGGCCTGTCGGGAAATGCGGGGGCCATAGGGGTGGTTGGCAGGACTACGGACACGGTAGTGGGCCGGAGCATTACGGTCTTAACCGGGAGGGGCAGATATGGCGGGGACTTTAGGGTTGGCCATTACCGGGGAAGGAAGGCTCGCTATGTTACAGAGATCCCTCCTTCC